TAAGTCTGGATTTACACCTACAATAGGTGTTTTAAGCCTTAGGGTCGATCTCACCAATTCCGATTAGCTAATTGGTCGATTGTTACATTGGAACTAACTAATCGCATTTGCTGTTCAGCAGAATTGACCAATCGTAGTTGACACTTAATCGACCGATTAGCTTAATCGGAGTTGAGACCGGGCCTTAAGGCTGAGTTTCCACTGAGCGCGTCACGCGTCGCGTCGTCGAAGGAGAGAAAGAGAGGGGTTGTGTATTTACATAATCTTATCTCTTTCTCTCTTTCATGATGCGACGCGTGACGCGCTCAGTAGAAACTCAGCCTAAGCCGTAAGAAATTGACCAACTACAATCGAGTGTGAGGAGAATAATTGATTGTGATTCGTCCATTCCTTATGGCTTAAAACTTAAAAATCTATTGTAGATCCAAGGTAATAAACTTGCAACGTCCTGTATTTATAGCCTTCTCTAAATTTACCGTCGATGTTTTTGTTACACGAAGTTTGAATCTTGATTTGTTTGGAGCGACTCTCGAAAGTAGCGAACGAATTTGCGTTGGTCGACCGGTATTGTTACTCCACTTTGCTATGTCGTACTTTATTGTGTGTAACGATAATAATATAAGAAAAGCAAACGACTGTCGCACTTAAAGCGTACTGTTATGTGGAAAGTGTCTTGACGAATGACGGATATTATTATATTATAATTAGACACTTTGAACAAGATAATGTTGCCGACTCCAAAAACAAAAGGTGGCCTATTTTTGGCTTCATCCCTCTGCGACGGACTTGAGGACAATAATATGAGGTACAAAATAATTATTAGATATACAGAGTGCCTCAAAAGTTTTTGCCAATCGCTTTTGTGTAGATAGAACGGACTAAACTGAGTCGAAAAGTCCTCTACCATTTTGCAATCTTCGCAATAATTACCATGATATTAATTACTAAAAATTGCAAAATATTAGTCTTGAATAATTTTTTACTCAAATACTATGAACTTTATAGAAAAGCTACAAGAGACAAAAATCATTAATTTTCTTCTTACAAAGTTCTAGGAAATTTTTCAGAATTTTTTATCAACTTTTTAGTACTGCATTTTCTTATTTTTACCAACATGAGAAAATACGGTATTAAAAAATTCTGGAAAAATTCTCAGAACTTTATGAGAAGAAAATAAATGATTTTTGTCTCTTGCAGCTTTTCTATAAAATTTATAGTATTTGAGTAAAAAATTATTCAAACCAATATTTGGCAATTTTTAGTAATTAATATCTTGTTAACTACTGCGAAAATTGCAAAATAGTAGAGGACTTTTTGACTCAGTTTAGTCCGCTCTATCTACACAAAAGTGATTGGCAAAAAAGTTTGGGATACCCTGCATAAATTTCCATAATTGTACTTGCTTTCTTAAGGAAGTATTAAAAGATTATCAACCCTCCGTTTGCAGTCTGAATTTTTTATTTGACGTAAGCAACATTTTGTTCTCCAATTTCTGTATTTCTGCTCAAATTTCAATTTTTGTTAAATAAAGATTTTAACATTTGAGTTAAGAAACTGTTTGATCACGTAATGGAGAAGTTGAAAAGTAATCCTGAATTTTCCTACATTCTTTGAAAGCCTAGAATAGTAAAAAAAGACCCAGATTGTAGATAGGAATAAAAATTGATTGGAGATGATTAATTTGACTTAAAAATCTTTTCTTAGACAAGTTGTAACCCTTTTGCTAAATAAAGGTGCGGATCCTAATGTCTTGATTCCAATACACGGAGTTACTCCGTTTCACTTAGTTATCGGCAATGATTCAGAAGAATTCGCAGAAGACGTGACTAAACTATTCCTACGTCACGGTGGCAATCCCAATGTGAGGTATAATCTAAATTATAATTATTATGATCCTTTGTATTTATGCAAACGCAAGTGAAACAAGTGCAATATACATACTCTTAGATCAAATGACGGAATGACTCCGGTTCACGTAGCAGCAGCTTGGGGCAGAATAAACATATTGCAGTTACTTCTGGCAAATGGTGGTGATCCATTACGTCTGGACAACGATGGACGAAGTCCGTTTCACTATGCCTTTGACGGAAAATATTTTAATGTTGTAACGATGCTTGCAAATTATTGTGAGAGTACTCAAAACGAGGATGACAAACCAAAGTACAATATGATGCTGGGTAAGTAATCTCTACACTCACTTGATTCATTCAGATAATTTCAAATTACTATTTATTATCTTTGCTTTTAATATTGCAGACAAAGTTTTAGTTACTAACGGGGATGTAATCGCCGAATACATTGTGTCGAAAGATACGGTATTAGATGAAGACGACATGGCACAGAAGAGTGAGCTTACCAATTCTTCCAATTACAATCAAAACTCTTCCTCGATGATCGTAGACTTAAGCCGTACGCCAGATGTACGTGCTGCTATTGAAACCAAGTACAAATTATTAAATAATTCAAGTGAATGCTCCTCTAGTATTAATCATGCACCGACTGCTAAAATACAGAATAACGTTTTGCGAACTGGTAAGAAAGAAATGCCGAATTGCTCGTTTGTCGATCTCGATTTTGACTTTGCAAATCTATATCTTTCCGATGTCATGCAAAAAGAAAAATGCCTTGTCAGTCAAATTATTAATCATCTCTCGTCATCATTAACAAGTAGTTGCTCTATTAACGAGACCTTGCACAATAAAACAAACAAGCAAGAGGAAAGCACTATTACAACAAGCAATTCTAACACGTCATTTAATGACAGACTGTATTTAATGAAAAATGTAGGTGCACATTATAAATGTCATAAAAAATCAAAGAATTCTCCATTTAAAACAAAGAATAGTAAAGATATTTTAAAACCTATTACTCCAAATATGAGAAAACAATATTTAAAGTATAGCAGACAAAGCACTTCCAAGAACAAATGCAAAGATATCTCCGACAAAATTTCTTTAACACCAACTCGTACATTGGATAATTCCATCATCAGTATGTCACCGAACTTTAATACACCTAGTCACAGAAAGAGAAGAAATGCTTGTAGATTTCCATTAACACCGTCGCATATTTGCAATGATTCTATTGTTACCAAGTCGCCTAATTTTACACCGGTTTGTACGGGGAAAAAAAATTTAACAAAGACGTCACATGAAGATTCCCTGAATGTATTCAAGAAGTGCAAAACTGAGATGCAATATCCTGAATGTAATTGGTATAAAAAACATGTAGCTCAATCAACACCAAGAAGAATTAAGAAACGATCGATATACAAGTTTCATTCTGGCCGAAAAAGATTTAAACCTTATCGATATGAAAGCGATGTCACTTCTGATGAATTTATTTCTAATAATATATTAAAGCCAATTGATTTAGATAAAACAATTTTTTCTGATACAACTCGCTACGATATTCTAGATAAGAGTAGTGAACATTCATTATTAAATTTTAACAAACCTATAAAAATAGAACAAGATCAACATAAAAATAATTTGGCAGTAAAATTGGATGAAGAAAGATACGACGAGACCGATAATAACAGTGACGCAAATCTTTTAGATACAAATAGCAGTTTTAATCAAATTGAAAAAGAGAACGAACCTGTTAGCAATTTTAGCAATGATAAAAAATATGCCAAATCTGGAAATAATGAAATAAACACCGAATTTATAACAATCAGAAAAAAATTTGTTATTGATAAAGCACTGGAAAAACCAGTAGACACTAATATAAAATCTACATGTACAACTGAATCTGATTCATTGCATAAGGAAAATTTCGTAGATTGCGTTGGTTGTGATACTAAGAAATTATTAAATGAAGATTTAAATATTAATATAAGCAAGACTTGTAATTTACATGCAAAAAATTGGTATGGTAATAGGTTTCACTTATCTCCGGTATATAAATCGCTTATAGAAAATAATTCAATCCCTGCTATGAATTTACCTATACAATGTAAGAAAAAAATTTATGTACTCGGCTCTCAAAAATCATATTCTTCAAGAAGTACTGATTCTAAGGGAACAGAAGGTTTATTAAAAGCAAAAGAATTAGATGTGTGTAATGCTCAAAATAATTCGTAAGTACAGCACAGTATACTTTAAAAACGACATCAATGAAAGAATAATTATTTGATTGTTACGAATTTTAGATCTCTGCTTTCATATGTCAGTACCCAAGAGTATAAATATGAAGATCCAGAAGAAGGTGTAATTTTATTAGAACGGCGACTTTGTGTTACTCCATTTAGGTGAGTTTACAATTACAATTTTTACTTCATAATCTATATTAAGTTGAATCATTGAATCATATCGCATCTCTGCAAAAGAAAAGTCAAGAAATTTATCTTATCAAACTTATCAATTTTTCAGTTCTGATAGTGAATATGTTGGAAGCAAAATGGCTGGTAAGCTACAAATAATTTCAATGTTATTGTTAAATACAGGATTATTATATCGATAGAATTAAAAAATAATTTGCTTATTACAGGTGTTTCAAGTACATCCACTTCTCAAAGTTTACCAGAAGAGATACTGTTTATCGACGATGTTGCTCTTAGACAAGAACTTAGGCAGCTTGGCGATCAACCTGGTCCAATCACTAATACAACTAGACAGCTCTATCAAAAACGTCTTTTACGTTTAAGAAATATCAGGGATGCCAATTCTGTTTCATTCATACCAAATCTGCAGAGTTCTCCAAGAAATCAGATTTCAAAGCTGGACAAAATCAAATCTTATTTGGAGCTTGGAGATTGGTTAAATCATCTGGATACCTATAGAAGCATGGAGAAGCAAGTATTTCAAGAATTTGTATCGCCAGATCCGTCTCGGAGATGGCGTGAAGGCACATCAAAAACATCTTTCACATATCTGCTGCTAGACCCGCGTATAACGCAGGATCTGCCAAATCGCAGTGTTCACCTTACAGAATCGGAAGTTTGGTCAATCTTCCTTAATGCTATATTTTATATTGGTAAAGGCAAACGTTCCAGACCTTATTCTCATCTCTATGATGCTTTCAAGATGTGGGTGGGTGGTGGTAACAATACAAATAGAAAAATCAATTGCATTCTCAATATATGGAACAGTAATTGTGGTGTGATCTGTTTGCATGTTTTTCAAAATATTATTCCAGTAGAGGCTTACACAAGAGAAGCTGCCATGATAGATGCGATAGGAAAGGAATATTTGAAAAACTCTATAGGTGGGAAGTATTATGGTATCGCGGCAACGTGGAGCATACAACAGAAACAGAAATTTGGTAGATACTTATTATACAAAGCTTTACAAATTTTTATACACGAAGGAGAGAATCAGCTTTCCCCTTGCCATTTATAATACAAGCAAAATAAGATAGATGCAATACAACAAATCAATTTTAATATCGCGCTAGACTTTATCTAAATAGATACAAATATATTGTATATTAATTTTTGATGCACAGATAGAAATGTGATGACATAGTATTAATTAAAGTTTGCAGAATATGTAATTATGTGCAATTTGATAAAGTAAATAATATATAGAAATGTATACAAAATATTTTTAATACAGTAAATGTTTAGTGCAAAATTAGTGCTTCGAGTTAAGAGAAAATTAAGCTAAAAGTAAAACATTAAAATAATATATATCTAATAGTGTAACGTAATTGCCTGATAAAAACATATATTTATTTAATTTATAACATAAAAAAATGTAAAATCATATTAAGTGATATTGTATTTAAATTCTAAAAAAAAAAAACATGTGAAGTATATATGTAAGCAATTATTTATACAGACAGATATAACAATTATCTTTGTACATTTATTGATATACGTTTTGGAGAATATAACTACATATGTAAAGTGAATTAAATACGGTACTTTTTCACCAAGAAACGTTTCGGATTCTTGTTGAATGTTACAAGTATGGCCTGTCAGGTTCAGTATCTTTTGCTTTCTTATCTCTGGTCCTAGGATACCACTTGTGCTTGGTAGTATATGTAACTTTCGCTAATTCTTCCACAACCTGATATTCCTTCTTTTTCCTAAACATCTCAGTGATTTCTTTGTTTCCAATACACAGTACAGAAGTGTTGGGCTTTTCTTCGGGCAGAGGTAAGGAACACTCGTATGGAAATGCTTTCTCCGGATGCCAGCAGACAACCATACAATTGTCCTCCGTAAATATTACCGCTTCTGAGGGTAGAGTACTGTATTTGACTTGTCTCGCAGAGCGGATGCAAGCTCGGATCGTGCATAACATAGGATTCATCTACCATAACAAATCGCAATTAATAACACACAGTATGAATAAATTTTTCATATATATTTTATATTTTAACTCGTCAACAAGTAATTGCCTAGTTTACATCATACTTGATATGGGTACCACTAGTAACTTTCTATTGAATTCTCTTAATTTTGGTGTTACGTGTAAACGTATCCATGATATATGTATTTAATCAATCATTTTGATGCATATTGTACCAATTTAGTTCATCATTCTTTAAATACATTGCTGAAATTAAAATAATTTAATAGACAGTTACTAGTTCATACGCGTATCAAGTGCACTATGTAAACTAGGTCAATGAGCCTGGTTAATCGCGCAACAACAATCTTTGGTGATAATATTCTGTAATTTTAAACAATAATACGCAATTTATACCTCGCAGTGTTTCAGTCTTGCCTTTCAATTTATATTTTCGTAGATTTTTCTGAGGATGAAAATTCGACTTGAACATCAGATTTTAACCTCAAATCACTACGTATTTTTATGTGTAATTGTATACGAACTGCTTTTCTGCAAAGCCGGTTCTACAAGGTGCAAGCCGATCGCAAGTTTATTGCG